TTTTATAGTTTTTCATTTCTCGATGCGTCCTTAATGTGTTGGAATATACCGCGTTTACCCTACTATAGTATAGCTAGTGCCCTTACTGCCCTAGTGGCAAAGCAAAGAGATTTTCAGACTCTCCCTCAATCTCAAGTGCCAAGTCCATTTTTGAGTCCTATAAGTAGACCAATAAAGTATCCTGGGTAGTGGATACCAGGATTATCATTTATCATACATAAGAAATTGGTTTAAATCTTGAGTAAATGAGGAAATTATAAATGAACTGATTCTAAAATACCTAAAATAAATAAAAAAAACTTTTAAAAACCACGTTTTCTAACAGACAAAAAAGAAAACATTTACTCTTGCATGACATTACACAACAATGACAACATTTTACATAACTTTAATGTTACGTAAGAGTAAATGTTTTTTTTTCTGTTGAAAAAACATGTTTTTTTAAGTTTTTTTATTTGTTTTATTTTCTACTTGTTAGCTTAGCAATTTTAGCAATAAAAATCATTTTCCAGGGTTGGCAACTCTGGATGTTCAAAAAAAATTTTTTTTAAAACTTATTACTTCTGAAATTCTGATGATCAATTCTTGCATTGTTAGGCAGCATAAGCATGCATGCCAAATTTCAAGTTTCTAGGATCTTTAGAAGTGCTCTAAATTAAGGTTTGAATTTTTGATGACAGACAGACACAAAGCGAAACTAAGATAAATGTGGTTACAAGTAAAAATCACAGAAAATGTCACTTATTGTACATATGCATCATCTACAAAGGAAGAGGAGGACTTCGGAATACTGTTAGTAATGGATGAGTACACTTTGCAAATGCATGCTTCAACATTTTAAAATTAAGTTTTATTTCAATTGTCCCGGATTACTCCGTTCCCAGGGGTAATTTGGAACGCCTTTATTGTGCGCCTGGCACAAGAAGCATGAAGAAGTTATTAACAAAATACGCTTAAAACCGTCCTTAGGTTAGGAGGGCTCTGATTCTATAATAGTGAGAATATCTGTTGTATGGTACATCACTCATGATTGATAACTTGAGATTCTCAAATGTTCTTTTCTATGTAATGCTCCATGAGGGAGCTCGTTTATAGTGTCTGTATATGCCATCCAGTTATACTGGTTTATTAATGGTGCTGGTACCTAGAGCTCCGTTATGCCATTTCATCAACAGCATTTACAGTTGTAGTCTAGTTGTGTGGGTTCACAGACAGTGCTGGTACAGAACTGCTGTCATCTAATAAATTGTCTTCCCTTCACGTGTTTGCTTCATTGCAATAGCAGCCCAAATATCGGTTCTGCAATCTCAAGCACTACAGCAACGACGCTTGACTGGCAGCCTGCTCTCGCATAATTGGTCCACCCATCTTAGGCTCACGATTCTTATACACATTGCCTAACGATCAACCCATTGATCAGGGTACTTCTGCTTATCATATTGCTTTTACATTAATAAATACTACAATATGAATAACTCGCGCATGGATTGAAATGTGTTGTAATATCCCATTTTAAACATTTTATTATTCCAAATTAAAATCTCCATTGTTATTAATTTCATTTGCTTTGCAGCCCAAGGAGTCATTGGGGCTACGTTACAGATATCTTCACCTACGTTTCCCTCGCTTGCAACGCAATCTGAGACTGCGATCTCGGGTAAAGTGCAGCACAATCAATTCCACGCACTATGAATGCTTAAAGCAATCACTGCAGTGATATTTTGCCATAAATATATCTCACATACCTAGTGATGGTAAAGATTTGCAATCATGCAATAATTATTCTGCTTCATTTAATTCTCTCTGATATTGTGTCGACTATGAAAATAAATATCAAATCAAAGTCCTAATTCATATTATGGCATTCAGTACCGCTGTAAATTTCATTAATCCTTCTCTGTGAACAGGTAATGAAGCGCATGAGTGACTTCTTGGAAGATGAAGAAAATTTTGTCAACATCAACACTCCGACTCTTGGACCTTACACTGCAGGCGTAAGATATTATTTAATTTTGATTTATGGTGATCTCATAAGCTGATCATAATTTTATATCTTTTTAAAGTTTCCAGGTAATAATTATGCGTAGGTTCGGCTACTTATGAATCATCAAAAACTTGACTCGCAGTTTGATTTAAAGAGCACGGGTAAATGACCTGATAGTTTTACAGCCATAGTAGTAATGAGACTAATGAATTATAGTATGTGTTCATTCTGTTATTTAGTATTACATTTTAATACCGAGGACATACCGTATGCGGTCAAAAAAATGATTGAAATTAAATTGCCGTATAATGACAGTGAATTAAATTTTGTTGGTTGACAGGGCGCTCAGCTCTTCATTGTGCCGTACGAAAGCAAGTCAGACAATGCAGGTGAGATATGCTGAGATTTCATTGTAAATAGACTGTATTTTGTGAGCTATTATTATTACCTATATTTTATCATGAAACTATACGTAGTAGAACTAATAATCCATTTAGGTAATTAAATCAGATATGGCTTTAGCATGCTTCATTTCTTCGTTTTTATGAATATGAATCTCATTCAATGAAGAAGTTAAGTCTTCATTTATAAATTTTTAGCAAGTATCCTATCCGTGTTAACTAACAGGTGTGGCATTCCAGAGAAACTAAATGAAGGAAGAGAATACTACTGCCTGAGCCAGTCGCCCCAGACGTACAAGCAGCTGCTGATGCTGGCGGGGCTCGAGCGCTACTACCAGTTCGCCGTCTGCTACAGGGATGAGACGGCCCGTCCTGATCGACAGCCTGAGTTTATGCAGGTCCCACTCTTTCAATTGTACTGAAAAAAATCATGTCCATATAAGTTATTGTATTTAATAGTTTGACGTCATTTTCGGTTTGTGTATTCTTGAGTTTTTCTCGATCCAGTCGTGTTCTGTTGTTAAACTTTTATGTAGTAGATCGATCCACCGCTTGATTTCTAATCTGAAAGGCTTCATTCTATAAAAATTTCTTGCAATAGTATATGTGATGAGACTGTAGAGATGAAATAATGCATGTGCGTCAAGACGTACGTATTATATGATTGTGCCGTATTTGTGTACGAACGGCGTGAGCGGAGCACTAATCCAATCACCATAAAATGTCTTCTTCGATACCCATCTGATTGACGAAAGATTGCTTCGACACTTATGTAGCTTCTGTGGGTTATTAATGCCCAGGAAAACGCTTTGTAGCAGTTGTTGATAGGTACCCATGTTTTCATGATAGCATTTTAACATAGATACATTTGCTGTATTTTCACTCTTTTGCATTAAGCAATTAATTTTAAATTTCAGATAAAGACATTATTAAATTGAAGGAAAATCCTTTGAAAATTACCTAAAAGATATAAAATTGATGATTGACGAAAATAATAATCTCATTCTACTTATATCGCAAATTTTCCCTCAGCTTGACCTCGAAATGAGTGATGTTGGTGCTCCAGAAATCCGATCCCTGGTGGAGCGTCTGCTGGTGCGATGCTGGCCTGACGACATATACCGCGACACTGCAGGTCCCCCGCCACTCATACCCTTCCCGTGCATGACGTATGACGACGCCATCAACAAATACGGCTCAGACAAACCTGACACCAGGTTTGCGTGGCAGGTAATTCCTACACGAACCTTCCCGTGTATGATGTATGATGCCATAAACAACTACAGCCAAGACAAACCTGACACCAGGTTTACGTGGCATACTGGGCCATTTAAAACGTGGCTGCTAGACAGCCAATTTCTCGCATGTAGTAAATAACGCGTAATATTTACGTCATTCTTTCTTTATGGTATGAATTACAAGTTTTGAATGATAAAATTATTATCTGACTTTTATTGTGAAAAATTGCGAACGTTCTCGTAGGTTGTGACGGATCGATTTTTGTCGTTTTACTGATTTAATGTAAAAGTGGAAATAATGGTTAACCTCTCTTCTCTGCGCGTGTTTTCACAATTAATCTTCCATTATTATTACCAATTGAAAGAAAGTTCTTTAGCAACTTTCTTTCTAACTCTCAATAGTGTTCAGTAACTCTGATTATGAACTCTTATCAACATGATATCGTTCTCTAATTCAGGTACAATATGTTTCCCACTGTATGAAATTGCTTCTCAACTCTAAATGTTCTGTTCTCAAATTCTCACTTGAGTTCTGTGAAATCATTATTTTGCACGGACGAGCTCTTGCATTACTGTAGTTCATGCTCGCTTATGACGCTTGTACAGCTGGCAGACGTCACGGCAGTGCTGTGCAGTGAAGGCTGCAGTGCAGAGCGCCTCACTGCGTCACTGCAGGACCAGCGCTGCAGTGGCCACGCCTTCGTCGTGCCGCGGGGGCAGGTGCGGTGTACGATCAGTCGCAGTAAAGGATATCATACACGTATCTATTTTAATAACATTCGTGACTGCGAAAAACATTGCAATTTTATTCATGCTACAGAATTGAAGACGTGGAAATATAACATTCCATTTATATTTACTAGTTCTCCACTTAGGAGAATAAGATGATTGAAGATGATGTTCCATTCTCCCTCTACAAAATTTCTACAATAAAAATACCCAAGATAGTTGGATAATTTTTAGAAGTACTTAATCTCTGGTCTCATTAATCGTCTCCCCTGTAATCATTTGAAGCGAATAATCTTTCTGATGTGAACTGTATTTCCTCGCAGAAATTCCTAGCGAAGTCGACACAGAAGTCGTGGGACGAGCTGGCGCAGAAGGACCACCAGTTGTCGGGCGTGAGTCTCCTGACGGTGCGGCGGTCGTCTGACGAGGTCGCCCTGGCAGGCGCCCTCGCGCGTCATCTCGACGCCTCGGCGACCCGACGCCTCATTGAGCTCCTCGGCGCCAGTCCCGGCGACACCATCGTACTCGCGGCCGGTGCTACACAAAGCGTCGTGAGTCAAGCAATAACCTGTTGTTCCCGTAAATATTTTAGTACCTGTTTGATATTTAGATATTTAGTGCCTGTCTCTTTTGTAAATTTCTGGTTTTAATTAATTAACGAGTTAAGGCGTCGGTGGTACAGGTAATGAGATAGAGACTTCTACTTGCATTCCACCCATGAGGCATTCAGAGGCGCTCGTTAGGAGTTCGATGTTTTTTTCGTTTTCTAAATGTATTGTTTCTGAAAGCGAGTCTTTATAAAGGCAGGATTTCGTGGGCTTCTTTCCTCAGTCTCTGTCAAGGTGTTGTGCAGAGAACACGTCTTCGTCTCTGTCCTTTTGTTCATTCTTCGTCTACGATATCCTAGCGCTACTCCTTTACTGCAATACTCATGGCGCTGTCCTATATATCTTCTATCAGTTTATGGCTATGGAAAATTTTTATACCAGAACGTATTATAGTTATAGTCTTTTACCAGGCTACAGGTATTAGTCGTCAACGTTTTATTTTCGATTCAAGACTTTGATATCTTTATTGCTTGTAAATTTTGTGTCCGCTGACCTACTGTGATCCAACCCGCCTCTTGATTATATAGCCATTGATTCGCTTCGTATGGAAGTAACTTCATTAATTGAAACAATATTTCAAGGAGTATTTCGAATCTTGACAAGGTCTTTATGAATGTCCGAGAAATACGATGTGATTAAATGCAGGTCATCTGTCAGTCATGGTTAGAGTTGTGTTTGTTGCAGCTTCAAAATTCAATGTCTGATCTTTGACGCCCTATTGATGGAAAGCTTTGGCTAACTATGGGCATGAACAAAACTACACAATGGTCGACTTCTGACGGTCGTGAGAAATCTAAAAATTGAAATTTAATATCATCAGATTGTTACTTAAAATCTTAATCGAAACAATAGCTATCTTCTCAACAGACATGCAGCCTCTTTCGAGTCCACGCCACGCTGCAAAATATTATTCATAAGTGCATTTACTATTGATCAACAAAAAATATCCGTCTTTTTTCCCAAATATTATAAAACTTTATTGTGCATTTATAGCAGAAAATATTTGAAACTTATCTGCCCAATAATCTTTCACTTTTGCGTAAACTGATAACGTTATTTATATTCTCAGAGGCTATAACAATGAGGCTGTAACTCGATATCTCAGTTAACAACGATAAGCTAACATTGTTCGCATACCGTTGCATAAAGACACTCCCTCCTATAATTCTGTGCACAGCAACAACGCTGCTTTCATTGTGGTATAATTTTTATTTGTAACCTCTGTGTAAGATCCAATATGATAGTTTTATCTATTCATGTAATAACCCTTATTGAATTCTACCCTCTTCCACAGCTGTCGCTGCTGGGGCGCCTCCGTTTGCTGGCAGCAGATCTGGCCGAGGCGGCTGGGGAGGTCGTCAGGGACAGGACCCGACTGCACTTCCACTGGGTCGTCGATTTCCCTATGTTCGAGGTAGAGCCTCATTGCAACCTCATGTATTTGTCTTACGAATTTATCGTAAAAATGTATGTTCAGTTGTAGTTCCAGCCTGTAGTTTTCAGTTTATTTCTCTTCCGGTATTCTCTTCTGCTTGACGAAGATCCACGTGGGAAGCTGCCTCGACACCAAAGCAGCAGGTGCTGCCGCACGATAGAAATCCTCTGCTCTTTCGGCATTTCTTTGTGGTTCATCTTTGCCTCTTGAAAGTCAAATTTGTTTCTAAGTAAATCATTAGCTATCTTTGTCAGTTGTTGGATTTGGTAAATTCCCTTTTCCAAATATACGATAGAAGATTATCAACGAAATGTATTAGCAATGCTCAACAGATATCGTTCTCAGAAAATTAAATGGGTTATACAGTGGCAATGGACCTGAAATTATGATTGTGAAACAGAATATACCTACAACTGCGATATATCATGATTTTACTTTGAATCAGCTATGAAAATATGTTCGAATATCATGAGAAAACATAGTAATTTATCATGTCATAAGTGACGACATTTCCCTGGTGCACCCACACAGCTGGATGACGGAGGAGGCTTACAAAGCGTTCACCATCCCTTCACCGCTCCACGACCACAAGACGCTCATCTGCTGGACACTGAACCTCTCAAGGTGCTCGTTTATTGCTTGTGCTCTCGTGTTCCTGTAGCTCGCCTTACTTATTCTTCCTGTTCGAGTCCTCTTCTCGGAACTTCCCTCGCTTCTGATTCGTCTCAACGCCTGCTATACCGTATGTTTATTTATTATGACCGGGCCTTGATAGTTATGGGTTAAAAGGCTTCTTGTATTCATTCCAGTATACAGCCTTCTAGACTTCACTTATGGCAGTTACGATGCCATAATCTGCAACATTATCTTCTGCTGCTCATAATTTGCAACATTTTTGTTTTTCTCTAGTGTGTCCTTTCTATGCATGATCTCGGCAGCCCACTTCTTTCTTCTTACCTGATCATCGAAGACTTAAACGCCAATAAAAGAACAATCTGTTGACATATATTCTCTCTCTAACACGGAGACAGTGTGAAACAGTTTCTAGTGGAGGCTGACTTTTGCCTCCTGAACCCTGAGCCAAGACGCGGTTCTTCGCTCAATAGTGAGACCTATCGGTGCTAGAAATGTACTTCTGTCTGGTAGCTTCCCTCTTCCCCGTTCCTGTACACAATGGCCATGTGTTTGTATTTTAACACTCGGGGTAATGTAATTCCCTACTCGCGACATGAATGGATTTAGACGACAGGCGAGCTCATCATCATTTTTGAACCTCTTCTGCTCAGTGTGAGAAGAATTAATTTCATACTTGAATTCCTTTTCCTCCAGGCATCTGATGTTGAATTTACATCTATCAAAAGTCATTCAAAGTTATTTGTGTTGAGAAATTTTACTTTGCTATAATGAGCTATAATATAAACTATAATTCTTACCCAGGCCCGCTCTCAGCACTACGACCTGGTGTGCAACGGGTGTGAGGTGGGCGGCGGGTCCGTGCGTATCCACGACAGCGGCCTGCAGCAGCGCGTGCTGCAGCTGCTCGGTATTCCTGCCTCAGACCTCGACTACTTCACAGAAGCTCTCACCATGGGTGCACCTCCCCATGCTGGAATTGCTCTAGGTCAGCAGCAGTGTTCATATTGCATAATACAAGTACATTTTATAATATTCAAGGAAGCTTTTTGTACCTATAGCTCCTTGTGCATGTATTTGTGTATTTGACTCCTGTTGTCGATATCGACATATGATATCGAATATTCATTGAACTTCTTTGAGACTGGTATTTGAAATGATGACGTATTTTATCTGCTCCACTGACTACATATCATTGATTCTCCAACGTTGCTCTCGCCTACAGTGTTGACCGCTTTCTGCAAGCAGGCTCATGTAGCTATTGCACGCCTCCATTTGACTACTCTCTCTGCTAGCAGACTCATGTCGATATTGTTCATGTTAATTAAATTATTAAATGTAAATCATTAGCTATCTCCAGCCCACGTCTCCATTTGACTCCTCTCTCTGCTAGCAGACTCATGTCGCTGTTACACGTCTCCATTTAGCTCCCCTCTCTGCCCGCAGACTTATGCACCACTTAGCTCCTCTCTCTCCCCGTAGGCATGGAGCGGCTCGTGTTGCTGCTGTCGGGCAGCTCGAGCATCAGGGAGGTGATGGCGTTCCCTAAGAACAGCCAAGGACGATGCCCCATGACCGGAGCACCTGGCGCTGTAGACGAGGAGCTCCTGCGTAAACTCAAGATCATCGGCCCTGCTTCTTCCTCGCCGTCTTAATCTTTTATTGTTTTATTGTTCGTATTAAAAAATTTCTACTCATATCTCAGATGGCAATTCAATAAAGATATCGAACTGATGGCCCAGTTACGTCTGATGTGATTAATGCGTCAGTTCTGCCCGATAGCTTTTCCCATCATAATTTTGATTATAATTAAGAGCCTCAACTTACTGTTTATATTGCATTCCTCAATTAAATATTGAAGGCAAAGAGGAATGCTTCATAATCAAAACTGCTAGTGATTAAAACTTGAGTCAGAGGCTGCAAGTGATCAAGTAAAGTTTATATGTTTTCAAGATAAAGAAAAACGAAGCAGTGCCACCGGGCATCTCTAAACGAGGATCTATCTGTTTTCATTTATCATTAAAATCTCTGTACTTGTAAATAAAATGAATCTGAACGTCAAAGGGTTGGAGAATATAAATTCGCGTCTTTCCAATAATAGTTTCATTTCTCCAGCTCGGATAAATTAAGGAGGTTGATGCACAGTTTTGAGATTCCCTAAAACGAGACAAGACAAGATGCTAGGTGTTTCCTTCGGATATATTGGCACACTTAATGTTTTTGAAGAAGAATAACATAAAAAAGTATTGTGTATTGTTAAACAATAAATTAATGAGACCTTCATGCGAACTTCAAACGTTGTTATGATTACTCTGAGGCTGGCACAATATTGAGACGACGTTGGAAGGGTGAAGCAAACCAAAAGTTTGCTCAGATGCACATCGCCCAACTCTCTAATTTTTTTTCATTTGAGTGCAACTGTCATTGTGCTGGGTATGCTATCCGGTTCGCGTCAAATCACTCGAGAACTCTCCTCGAGTTGGGCTTTCTGATTGCCCATTCGTGTCCACTTCCGGATGCCATCCGCCTTCCAGGGACCAACTTTCGGCGCGATGACGAGCTTGAAGGATTAGTGACGTCATCACGGTCTAGTGCAAGAGAAAGTTTAGTGGACTGGCAATGGAAAGTGGCGTCCATTTCGCCTGGAAATTCACGCAACGCGTTGATCATTTTTCGAATGAGACATCTAAGCTTTAGGGCCATGGGTCATTTTCTGTTTTGGGTTAGAAGCACGATTTACATTTATCAAGATTCAAAGCCATTAAAGTAATTGCTATGCTTGTAAAAATTCTTCATTCAATATTCAGATAGAAAACGTATTCAGATGAACGGGACTCGAGTGCTGACATACATTCATTGTTCAGTATTTATTAAAGAAACGCCAAGACTAGAAATCATATTTACAGAAAATAATTTATTAAAATAAGATGTTTCAAGACGCGTGTCGAACAATCGGAGTTGAACACCGTTCAAGAAAATATTAGATTGTTTCATTGATTGAACTCAATGTTATTTTGCAGTAATATGATTCCCACCCTGTGAAGTTCATCAGTTATTTTCTGCAACGTGGACTGTCGGCGCAGTATGCAGGTTCACGATATAGGAAATACTTTCCAAGGCTCGAAATACATCTAAGGCATTTCCAATTTAGGCTCGTATTACTATTTCAAGTTGGCCTATTGCCTTCACGACAGCTTCTCGCCACCCCAAATCACGAGGGAAAGTTGGGGTTAGGATAGGTGAGTCACGGAGCTCTGGCAGCCTGACCTGAGAAGGCGGAGGCGCTTTCACATTTGTCGCCCGGGCATGGCTGCCGTGCTTGCTTGTTGTGTCAACTTCCAGGCTAAACTTGAAGTAGGAAGTTCCGATCTATTTAAGAACCGCTTAATTAATATCAATGTATTTTGAAAATTTCTACATATCAAAAAATTTTGGTATCAATAATTAGTTAAACCTCTTTGCTACGAACTTTCATTGAAATGAGATGACTAAAGCGTCAATTGCCAGTTGCTTTATAAACTATAAAGTTCAACTCGTATTTCTTTACAAGCGTACTTTGTTGAATTGTTCAAATTAGACTTTTTCATAAGAAGTGTAAAATCGCCTTATCTTAGAACATCAAGATAATATTAATATTAAATAGGTAATTTTCTTGTACTTAAACACCTTGAGTTCGCGATGTCTTTACTAGGAACCAAAAGCTTCGAGCGCGAGATATTCCTACTTGAACTCGTGCTGGGTCAAATCATTATTTATGCCTAAAGTAACTCAACTGACTGATAGTTAATAACAATCCAAAAATGACAATTCTTTAGTCTACTATTTTTGCCCTGTAATTTAAATAGCCTAAATGGAGAATAAAATCCCCGGGCGTTGATATGTGTCCGCGTCTTGACCGGCTGCGTGCCGGTCCGCAGTCACCGCGCGTAAGAGGAAAGGCAGTCGCTGACCTGCTATTTTCATAGGTGCTTTCTCCGTTAGCCTCTCTGCCCCAACTTCCCGAAGAAGGCTCCTCGTATTAAATATAATGTTTATAGCAAATAGTACTCTTAAATGCCTCATGAAAAATTATATATACTTAGAATTCTTTCTCAATGACTGGTAATTCCTATAAAAAGTTTCTTTGATTCATCGGAAAAATTAAATAAAGTTTTAATTACTAGTACTAAATAAAGTATTAATTGAAGCGTAGAAAATGCTACAAAAATGGCAACGGGTTGTAAAGATGTACCGAAATGTTTAAGATAATTGATAAAAGAATGTATAAAAATGGTAGATGTTTATGATCATTGACTGAATAATGTGACTACACTTTCGCCGTTAATAATTGTATATATGTACATACATGCACATGTTCACATGGGTTCACGGTCATTCATTAACAAGTGTTGTCTACACGCAAATAGTTCCGTTCAGATTTTAAAAAATACGTTATAGCTCATGCGTAAATTATCTTTTTCACCTTATTTAAACATTATTTGACTGTTCATTCAGTAATCTAATATAGCATCACCTATTACCACATTAACTTATTACCCTACCTACTGAAAAAACATTAGCATTTCTATCTAACAGTGTTCGCGATAAAATTTAACGATATAAATATCCATGATATGCGACTGCTCATGAAGCATTTTAAACTCTTTATTCGTTCTTCACAAAAAAATGAAAAAAGACGCGACATTTATTTAGTTACCTGTTTCTACCCTAAATTGCATTAATTTCTGAACTAAAGTTTCGATAAACATTCATGTCCTCTAAGACTATTTGATAATAAATCTAAAACCTCGGCTGAAATATTTTCATGCTTTCTAAAAACCGTTTGATTTGCAAATGCGATTATATTTAGGTCAAGGAGCTAAACCTGCCTAGTTAGCTCTGCACGTTATAATATCTCCCTGTAAGCCCCACGCCGAATGCCTATGTATAATTATGGTTTCATCGTTTCAAAGGTCGCTTTCTTCAAATCGACATCCGTTGTGTGGAGACGCACAATGCACCCTTCTGTTTAACCGTGTGAAAATAGTCTAGTATTGTAGTTAGCCTATATATGTAGATATTAGGCAGTTTTGTATTGGCTGGGTACTTACAAGGCATTTCGGCATCGGCGCGCTACTGCACGGTTTTCTGTTACGTGGAATGAATTTGAAGATGAAGATTGTTTCTTGTTTTGTCGTTCACTGATGTAAAAGATGTGGTAAGAGCAGCAACGAAAGCATTAGCTAAGATATTAATTAAAATATATCATTAACATGAGATATTATTGAAAACGGATGTAAACAGAAACTGAAGCTGAGAGATAAACGTGCTGCAACAGATGTGGCAGATGTAGCAGCAACAGAAGCAGTAGCTGCGGCAAAAACATAACTAGCTGCAACAGATGTGTTACTAGCAGCAACAGAAGCAGTAGCTGCGGCAAAAACATACTGCAACAGATGTGGTAGTAGCAGCAACTGAAGCAGTAGCTGCGGTAAAAACATACTGCAACAGATGTGGTAGTAGCAGCAACTGAAGCAGTTGCTGCGGTAAAAAACGTGCTGCAACAGATGTGTTACTAGCAGCAACAGAAGCAGTAGCTGCGGTAAAAAGTGCTGCAACAGATGTGTTACTAGCAGCAACAGAAGCAGTAGCTGCGGCAAAAACATACTGCAAGAGATGTGTTACTAGCAGCAACAGAAGCAGTAGCTGCGGCAAAAACGCGCTGCAACAGATGTGACTGCAACAGATGTGGTAGTAGCAGCAACAGAAGCAGTAGCTGCGGCAAAAACATACTGCAACAGATGTAATAGTGGCAGCAACAGAAGCAGTAGCTGTATACTGTAACGCGCTGTATATCAGATGTACTGGGAGCTTCACAGTTGCAGCAGCGGTCGCTATGAAGCAGCAGCAGCGCAGGTCATGACAAGGCTGCACCGCAAGCTCTTCAAACGATGTCAGTCGGTCACATGCTGCTTGTGCGGCTATGGCAGAAATTGATAGATGCGGCACTTGCGTAACTAACTTTCTTTTTTATTTAGTTCCTACTGCTTGAGCATTTTGAATCGTTTTATCGTTTGAAATATGCTACTTTTCATGCTTACATGTATTTCTATTTAGTTTAGAAACATTTCAATTTTTAATCGCCGAAACTGGCGCAATCACACGATTAAGCCAGAGTTGAAGTGAAAAATTCGAAGAGAATCTTAGAAAAATATTCTGGATGGATATAGTAGCCTAATGTATGAATTTTTCATATCAGGTCAGAAACAAATGGTTCAGCAGAACTCGCTGAGAAAAATAACAAATGAATAAGATTTAAAAAAAAGATGCATATTTTCGATTATTTAATTTTACCCGTGTGCACCTTCTCAATAGGTTCTTTTTAATTATATATGAAAAATTCAGCAAAAATTTCATTTATATCGGATGAAATCTGGGACTGATTAAATTAAAATAATTGAATTTCGATAATAATTCGCACAAAAAAGAACTTGGGTGTTATGTTTTAGGAACATCAAACGACAACCATATGATAATGGTTTGTATAATGGTACATGTGCATTTAAAATGTGGTACCTATAGTAAATGTGTCAACGGCACAACGTCATTAAAAAAAATTCGGGGGTAATTTTTAAATTTGATGTATTTTCTAGTTTTAACATTATTCCATATATAAGCATAAAATATTTGTATAATAATACTATGAATCAAGACACCTAATATGCCTAAGATTAGTTCATCACTTTATGGATAAAATGGAGGTTTGGTATCTAATTGACTTAGCTTTACTCGAAACTTTGTTTGGACTCATGCGATCACGTTACCTGTGGTGGAGATTGGAATAAGGATATTTACAGATTACGATCTATTAGGTTATTTTACGACCGTGCAAACAAATTTATGCCTTATGCTTTTCATGATACATCAGAATTGCTTTCGTTGACACCATTTTTCTGGCTGACAAAACAGAGGTGCAATACAGATGCTTTCACGGCACAAAACTGAAATAGAAATGTTTAATGTTTTTCTGGTATTAAAAAGAGTGGCATTTTTAAAGATGTTATTTTTCGACTTTTTCTAGTTTTGAAAATAGATCTAATTGAAAATTTGTATTGACGTTCATCACCATTAATTAATAGGCTTTCATCTCTCCATGATGAAAGTCGTACATGACCTCAGCCATGTCACTAGTCAATATTTTTATTTATCTACATGCATTCGCAATGCATTCTCCTTTCTAAATCTGTTTTCATGAACTTTAATTCATTTAATTCATTTCGAAAGCTATTTCACTCTCGTCTATTGGACTATACTATTCTGAGATTCACTCTCAGTTTATTCTGTAAACTTCATCACGTGTTTCACAAAATCTAGCATTGCAATAAATTTGCATGCAAACTGTGATATGGCAGAACTGTAACATTATTACATGAAGTATAAAATTGAGTTTTCTAGTATGAAATCATATATTATTTTTTGTACTGCTGGCATGTTTACTCCTCTCTACCATGTGTATAGTCTCTGCATGATTATTAGAATCCGTCGAATGTTTCCAGGTGGTGTTAGTCATGTAAATGATTCTGTTCATTGGATTCAGCTATGATGAAAAATATCCTTCTGTAAAGCTCACTATAGTTATTTCTATACAACGCATATATATTTTATATTGCTCACTATTGCATTGATATTGGAACCTATCAGTAGAATGGTGACTGCTGTATCCAGCTGTCATCAATACACAGAAGAACCAAGTCGCTACCAAGGAATGAGGTAATGGTCATGTTTTTTCCATCACAAGCTGCAGGGTTCAGCAAAATAACATCAGGTATGACGCTCGTGCCACAGCGGATGATATCCTAGGAGTGCAGATAAAGGCTACTGTTCCAAACTCGACGATGAAAACATGTCGTTGAGAAATTCGAGAATTATTGTTTCGATGTATGGGTCAAACACAAGAAAAACAAAATAGACTAGGCCAAGCGTTCATACTAACGCCAACATCAAGAAAATTATTTGAAAGAGAAATTTTATGACCAGTTTAATGTTGATCCTCGCAAGCATAATGGATCAAACTCAATACCACGTCAGAAAGTAAGGCGACGTTCAATTCTTGTATCTAGAAACGGAATTGATTAACCATTATTTGTTCCAAAGATATCATATAGAACCGGCCATACCACAGCTTCAGCTGTGTATGAAATTTGACTGACATGTGGGATGTGTGATCAAATCCGTACAGTGGGAATTGATGCAACAACAACAAATACTGATAGATTAAATGGAACAAGGACATTTCGTGATAAAAAATTTCAAGGAGCTGAAGCGCCTGCACCAAGACGACACCTTATAATTGCATGCGCAGGCAATCATGATGGAGTTTGGTACGTTCTTTCGGCCTTTCTAATGGTTCAGAGATTACGATGTTCGAGAGATCATTACATGTTACTTCGCAACAATTAGCCAACAATCGATCAGACATGATATGACAAAAAATTGTCAGAAAAGACAGACGAAAAGAATTTGCCAACAAGTGAAAAAATGAAGGCTTTCATTATAGATCAACTGGACCAGTTTCAGACATTGAGACAACTTTCTAGATGTTCTGAAGCTTCTTATATCAATTTTAGGCGGGGCTACTGTTTAAGAAATAAAATTTATGGCATGAAAGAGCTGCTTTTGCTTGAGATTCGTCAATATATATTGTTGAACGAAGCTTTGTACTGATGGAAGAATATACAAAACTGAATAAGATCCTGAAGAAGAAAAGAAGTTTTTGCTGCTTGTTGGAAAGAAGTATTGAAATAATTATCCGAACAGGAACTATTCACTACTGATGTAGCGACACTCCAGAAAAAAAATCTTAAACTAATTTGAAATTATGTACAATATTACAGAAAATTTCAACTTTTTTGCTTCAATTTAGTCCATTCAACGGTTAAACGATAAAATAGAATTATTTGTGGTAGTTATAAATTTAAATTCTGGTAGCAACATTTAAAAAATATTTTTTCGATCTCGATATTTTTTTCTGGTTTATTTGCGACCTAAACAATACATTCAAGCCGGTGCCTCACTAAGGTTTAGAGAACATGTTTTTATGTTCATTTTTGCAGCAACTTAAAGGAAAATTATGGACAAACCAAGATTAATACATTTATATTTGTAAGATTTTCTCAAAATAAAGTTCGTGCATGACTTGACTGCGTCAAACTTGTCATTCGCACAAACAGTAAGGAGAAAGTACAGTAATAAATAGAACTTAACTTAAGATGTGACAGTGCATGGGATGAATGTTATGAGCATGAAAATAATAAATATTGAACTATGGTAACCGACATCAACATGATTCAGATGCAAAAAGATGAAACTGCTAACTCGTGCATTGACAATTTCATTCTAATTTCCATAACATTGTCTTATTTCCATCAATTAACTACGTCACTTCTGAATTTGTAAAGCTTATACTCTTCAGTGAAAAATATTACAGCTCAAGCTCTACACTAGTTCCGGTCTCGCATTCAAATAATGGAGCTGTTAATTAGTGTCAAGAAACACGTGACGTGTTAGGGAAATACAACGCGTCAAAAAACACGCGACTTCGTGCTACTGATTTTTTGGCATGCAAAAATTTTTTGCATTTCAAAATGTCACTAGAATTCAGTTAGGTCATTCTTACGCCTCAAGCATGAAAAAATAAATAATTAAATTTACATTAACATATAATGGCACTCCGCCTCGAATGGAGTTCACACGGAGTTTTTTGAGTCATTTTGAGAGATAAATGCTCAGATCACAACAAAGAGCCCTGAAATATCTAATAAAAATCGGCCTTATTTTTTTCATGCCCACATGGGAGGGTTGGCATCGGCAGACCGGACCTTCTGACGGTCCGCGCGAGTTTCATGCCGGTAAGCAGGGCAGTTTTTGCCCACCAGAGAGAGCGAGCCCTCACAATTCGGCCACCAAACTTGCTCCATGAAAAAATAGAGCCCGGTTTTCTCTGGGCCCCATTTAGACGGATCTTGCGTGTTTATTGCAACTAGCAACATTGGGTTATTATTAGTACTGCATGATGAGTATTCAAGAGCCACGGCTTATAAATTCTAATTCAGTATAGGTCTATTACAGCTATACGTACACACGGAGCATGATATGGTTAGTTTGATTTATAAGTTTGTGAATGAAAATCACAGATATAGACGAAGGTGGCCGTAAGGCAATAAACGTTCTATTCATTAACTACGTGCTCTGTGATTCAATTAAGAAATAATTCTGTACAGCAATGAAGACACGATACTAGTCTTAAAAATTGAGCATATTGCACAAACATTTCCCCTGCGGCGGTGAGCGCAACGCTATCACCAGCACGGATCAACTCTCTAGATGCCATCTACAATATGCAACAACAGACGAAAGTCAGGCCCGATTTCCTTTGAGCTTCATTCAGTAATGAATGGATATGGGTCGCCACAGATTTCGAGATGCACTGGCCTTAAACTAATTTATTTATCGTCATGTAATAGAAAATCAGCCGGAGTTTGTACCTCAAATTAATTTATCAAAGTAAATACTCATTATTTAGATTTTCTAAAAATGGTTATTGTACAAATTATACATATTGTTTCAGGTGCAATTTGTTTTTGCACTTGGTCACCTAAACCTTAAATGGCTTTTTCTAACTTAATGGGGAATTCTACGTAATTTTTTTTAATTTATGCTGTCAACAATGCAATGGTGTGAGGAAAATATACAATTAAATGAATATATGAACGTGAATGGCATTAAATAAAACAATATTCTAGCTTTTCCTTTAAGTTCAGTAATTAAGTACATCGAAAAGAATGGTCAGCCACAATATATTTTACCCGCAAACACAAACGTTTGAAGAAATGAATTCCGCTGTCTAATAAGACCTAATTGATACCATGGATATAGCATAAAAAACTCGTACGGCCAATTAGCGAAAGAGTTACGTATGGTAATTCTTTGATAAGATATTCGACTCAAAGCACAAAATAAAAAAGAATAAATCATTACCCGCTATAGACACGCCATCTTTTATTGGTATTGACGTATCATTCCGGTTAGAAAAATTTCTCTAAAGGTTTTCATGGCTCATCAATCCGGACACTTTATGAAAAGCGTCCAGGATGGGCTTGTGAGCGAGTCGTGTTGTGTCTTGTGCACATTGCGAATATTTGATCTGACAGTCGCCGCCGTCTTGGCCTGTCCGTGCAGCTTGCAGGTACCGGAAGAACCGCAAGATTCGCTCATCCGCGACCTGAGGTTTCTGGAGCTCTTCTAGAGTCCTGAGAGCACATGTAATGAGGGTCATTGTCGTCATTAAATTTTTGTGAGAGAAAGCGTCTCAGTTGAATGAGCACTTCTGGAAAGTATATGTAGCACCACGCAACCACGCATGTATCTAGTTTTCTTCGCTCCATCACCATTTTAAAGAGAACAGTATTTACTTGAATATCTAACCACGTTTACCGTAAAGTAAAATATACGGATAACGATTAAGACAAAGATATGTACGTATTAAAAATTTGCAGACCTGTTGGTTCTTTCACATGTTTAATTATCATGTCAAAGATTAACCTGCCTTTGGCTGGGTGTTACCAACAATACTATTTATTAAATAGATTTTTTCCTAAGCAGGAATCAACTGCAAGGAAAAAGTTTTAGTACTTACACAGTGAGCTGTCGCGAGAGGAAGTCGCTGAGCGGTGTGTACACGTCAGGATTTTTATACATGTTGCACACAACCTGAAATTAAAAATAACGCCATATGCTTATTAATTATGTACGTGTTTATGAAAAATATATAGACCAGCTCAAATTATAGAACATTCATAAAAAAATTTTTTCCAACTCAATACTCTTAATGTCATTGAATTTTACATCATTTATGAACTATCCAATTACAGATTTTTATAAGGTTTAACGATGACAATTTTCTAAAAATATTCATAATTTACATTTCACCCGTTTTTGCATTATTTAGTATTTCAGGAAGACAATATTGTGAATGCTGAATGAAAGAAGTAAAATTTGGAAATTACGAAAAGCTGAAGGCTTCCGAATCTAACAAAGATGTTTAGAATTGCACTATACGATTTTTTCGGATATATTTTGAATTATATGAAATTCATTATAGACGATAAACACATACATTCGCTGAAATTCGAACATAGTTTATTTTTATTGCATGTATCTATCTACAGAAATAGCATACTTGTTCTCTGCATCCTTCTTGATCTTCGTCGAGTTTCATTTGGAAGAAGATGGCGTCGATCCTAGACAGCCTGGGTCCGTAGAAAGGATCTAGGGAGTAGATGGGGATGTTGGCGTCCGTCTTGGAATTGCGGTGCGTTCTTTGGGGAGCTGAAGCCTGCCCTGCCTCAACTTCTTCTTGTAACAGGGAGTCGGTCTGCCAAAAGACGGAAATTCCAAGCTTGAATAAAATGACTGTCGCATGATATGTAGTGAATGGAATCAAATTTGTCTCAAAAATATAAAAGGTTCGACATACATGAAATAAAATTTTTCACTTATAAAAATATATGGTATCAGCTCCTGATGTGAATTGGTCCTGTTAAGAATTTTTGCATAAAAATAACATCTTAAGGAAATAATATTATGTTTCTAATCATTTACTCCAGCTAGACAACATGCTTTTCTATTTAAATTTTCTCATCTTAACCGCCGGGTCAGACTTTCACAAAGTTTTCTTAACTGCGAATCTTCAAATCGTACAATACCTTCAAACTTCTGTTGACGTCGAAACTGTTTTCTTCCTCATTGTTGTTGACGAATCCAGCAGCGTCATGCTGAAGAACTTCTTTGCTCAGGGCAGGGGGTACGTAATCCTCCAGCTGCTCTGAAGCTTTGACCACCTGGTCGTACACTTGTTGTTGATCTTTCTCTTCTAGCTGCTTTCTCTGATATCCTCTCAAGACCTGTTATTATCAAACCTCATGCGTAAACTTTCTTCGAATTGATGCAAGTATAATGATCAAGAATTCTTATATGATAATCGTCGATCATCGACGTTAACGCGCAAATGCCCAAGAAATAATGAGACCATTATGTTCCTATGACTAGGCCTTGTCATCATAGCTATTTGACAATTATAAATTCTAATTATTTGATCATATTTGAGTTGAATAATTAATTACTTCTATGTTTAATTTTATTGATTTAGAGTTAACGTAAGCAACGGTTAAACTTTAATGCTGTTGCATACCTGACGGTAGTCTTGCTCGTAGTTGGGCAGCAACTCTTCTAAGGAGTCGAACACTGCATTCGCGTTTTTCGTTTTCTAAAATTTTGATAAATTCAACTACATTAGTCAAGAATATATTAAAGATCTTTCCTTGCATCAATTTCACGACATATATCATCTCTTCGATTTCAATCATATAATTTTCACTTGAAAAAAAAACATTTGACAAAAAAAATAAATTATATTTTTAATTAACTACACTCGTCTTATTAAGTGTATTTCCACCAAGACTGACCTGATGCCCATTTCCTGGCCTTATCGTTTCTGGCTCCTCAGTAGGATACTCTGTGGGATCGAATTGACTTTCCTTTTCATCTACAATTACTTTCGGGGAATCTGTCGTGTTCTTATCTTCATCTAAGTAGTAAGGTTTATAGGCGGACTGGAATTTTTGGTCCAAAGGTATCGGCTTGGAGGTAACTACAGACTTGGATGTCACCACTCGGTAGTCGGTGGATTTGTAGGGAGTCACGATGATCGGAACCCCAGTTCGTGCCGTCGGTCTCTGCACGAATAATGCCGGCGGTGCGGTCGTCATTCTGACTGGTGGAGTCGTCGTGTGCTCTTGGTTTGCTGAATCTGGTTTTTACGAATTGGATAAACAGGAAAATAAATTATTTCGGTTTATATTTAGGTTGCTTAAAACGTATTAAATTCGTCATTCCAGTGGTCAAAAGTGAATACTACATTCTAAGTATAAATATTATTTATTCACCTGTTAAAAAGAAGTCTGCTGAGTTTGCAAAATTTTCTTCCGATAGCTTCACTGGCTTGGCGCGTGTGATTTGGACGCCACTTGTTCTTTCCTGCGATTTCTGTGATTGATCTTCAGCAGAGTTGAAAATTGGGACTCGTTCTCCTTCTACGATGAGCAAATTACTGGCAACTTGTTCTTTCTCCGCCTTCAGCTTGTCGAGAAAAGCAGAAGGTTTGGGAAGTTCGTAACGTTCTGTGGTTGAACGGATAATGAGCCCGTGTGGTAGGGTAGGAGGCCCGTAGATAGGAACAAATCCACCGGCATCATTGTTGCGGAACGTACTTGTATTTTCTGCAGAAGAAAGTGCGACGCCTTTTTCTGGCGACGAGACTACTGACTGTGCTTGTGCGTCCTGTCGTTCTTGGTGCTTCAGGTACTCCATGTGCCTCAACTCCTGCTGTTCTAAGAAATGCTGAATACTGAGAGGTTTTTGAGGATTTCGAGAGTTGTCAGGTTGAAGGTTCTGGTTTTGCGTGAACTGTGCTGCGAGCTCTGAACTGGCTTTTTCTGTTTGACCCTGAACCTGCTGATTTTTTTCGAACGGATGTTCTGATTCTATTGGTTGATGTCTTCCAATATTTTGCTCATTAGAGAAGTATTGAGGCCGCGAAAATTGATTGGCATCGGTTTGCTGCTCTTGCTGCGTGTTACGCTCGTGCTCTTGTTCACGTTGTAGTTCTTCTTGGTGTTGTTGTCTATCAAAATCTCGTTGTTCCTGTTCTTCGTTCAATTGTTCTTGGCGCTCACGTTCCAGTTGTTCTTTCAGTTCCAGTGACGCATGCTGTTGCTTCTGCTGATGTTGCACTTGCCATCGTAAATTCTGTGGTTGATTTTGTCCAGGCTGTCTGTTTCCGACTGAGAATATGATAGGTCGTGCGTGACTCGATGCATATTGAAGACGATTTTGTTGCTGGAAATTTAGGTGCTGCAACGGCTGAGTGACTGGGCCACTTTGAGAATTTGACTTTTGCCACTGACTCTTAGACAAATCTAGAACATCTTCCTCTTTGTTTGTCGCAGTAGGAACAACGTTCTGTGGTCGTACAACAACAAACGATGCAGAGTTTACTGTCTCAGCTACTTGTGAATCGTTTGAAACATTTTCTTTGGCTGAATTTTCAGTCGTTTTTTCAACTCTGTTGTTTTGACCTTCTTCGAAGGATACCTTGAAGTGAGTGTTGCCTTCACGGCCAGTCTTGAATGATCCAAAACTCTCTTTATCTTCTCCACAACCAATCATTTCGCGTGGAGGAGGTGGTGGCACCAAAGGAGAAACCAAAGACGAAGCTGGAGCTCTATCGGTTGGTCTGTTGGAAGGCCATTGGTTTGGTCCTGTCACTCCGGAAAAATGAATTTGATTTGGTCCTGGGATAGCGCCAAGGTTGATGCTGGGGTTAAAGTCTGGATTGAGATTAGGATTGAGACCTGTATTCAACACACCGTGTGGCGTTTGTTGAGCCAGTGGATTATGTGCTCTCCAGCGGACTCGCTGTGCTGGTGGGAAGGATACACCTGGTATAGGATGATGATGACCAAAGGGGCCTGGAACCGGTCCTTGGTGTACCAAGTGCAAACCTTGGTGATGTCCATGTGGGTTTGGCAATTGTTCTGCAACAACATGTTTTATTTGGCCAGATGTCTGATCTTCGATGTGTGTAGGTACAAATGGACCTGGAGATTCCCCTTCAACTCGCGTGGGAAGATTTTCATTCAACGTTGGGGGACTTTGACTTGGCGGACTTAGATTTAGAGTATTTAGTTCTTCGTTCAGAATGGAATTTTGCTGAGGAACTTGAAGCCCAATAATTTCCCGGCGGTTTGCAGAAGGTATGATTTGTGGGAGCACTCCTACTTGACTGCGATCTTCGGCGTTCGTTTGATCAAATGGGGGTAGAACTTGTGGTGCTGAAAAGCCCTGCTGAAGGAATAATCCGTTCTGGCCTTGACCTGGTAAGTTTCCACTTTCGTGCCTGACTTCCACTCTCGGCGATGTCTGTGGACTAGGAGGAGGTAAAAGACCGGCTACTTGATGAACTGCGGGGTTGAGTAGAGGGTTTGGGAAGATTTGCTCGACGTGAGCTCCGATCAATGCCTGATGTCCTGGCGGCGCCCCTTGGGTAACTCCAACGGGGTTCAGGTGTTGTACTCCTGCATGGATATGTGGCAGCCCAGGTGGCCTATGCCCGACTAAGTTTCCTGCATCGAGTCCCGGAACAATATTAAACTGAGACCCTCCGCCAGGAGGAGTGCTGACTCCAGGAGGAAGTTGATTGAACTGTTGGAAGAAATGGTTGTTGTACCAGTTCCTGTACTGTTTATCATAGGCCGACTTAGAATCTGAGCCGGGACGATGCTTTGGGGATTTGTTTTTGCCTCTCTGACGAGGAGGCGGAGGGGGAGAGAGGCCGTTGCTTGGCCGTCTTCTCTTGGGGTGTTTTTTGCCTCCAATTTCATTCTTGCCTGGACCAGGAGAAAAGCGCGGAGGAGCAAGCGAAGGAAGAGGATCTTCAATGACGTCTTTCCTTGCGTTGGATGAAGATTCGTTTTCTGACCAGAAATAATAGGGAATTGCGATCATGCCACCCAGCACAGCTAACCATGTCAAGTCGATGCCAGCTGGAAAGAAAGAACAATTTATCATTAGATGTAACTCAATACGGAAAATAATTGTTTTAAAATTGAAGTAAAATCGAATAATGCAAACATCGCCTACTAACAACATAGTAATATTTCTACATGAACGCATAGCTCTCCACCACGAACTGTTCATGCGGGATCGAGCTGCTAAATTACGCGCATCATACCATGCATTGTTTCTAACCGCCGTTGCGGAGGTGGAACATTCTACAAGCACACGTAATTTCTTTCGTAGTTAATTATCTTTTTCGTGAAGGAAGCAAAAGTAGTATTTATTTATATTTTTTGCATTCATGCATATCGCCACAGCGCTTGACGTGACCACGTCACGCCACGTATGACCGCTTGACGTGACCACGTCACGTCCTGACCGACACAAGTATTAACGTCACCGTACGACCATCTGTCGGCACGTCGCCTCCTTAACTCTAATGAGCCTGCGGCGCTTCAATTTTTAATGCACAACTTCAATTCGACGAATGAATTTTTATCGATTGTAAAACTTTAATGAAATGGATATCATAATAAATGTTAATTTGTTGATCTCGGATTGCGAAAATAATCCGAGATAATCAGCCCCCAATAATGCGTGCAAAGTTGAGTCATTTATTATTTATTTGATTTCATCGTTACTCTAAAATTTAGTAGGATTATTTGATACATCTTTTTGCGCACACTAACTTCCTAATTTTTCTCCTTGCACAAAAATACCTGATGAGTTTTCAAGTCCTCATTCTTTTTTGTACATAAACATTCGTTATGTATTTATTGAACGAATTTGTTATCCGCCAGTCCAATTATTCCACATAAATTAATAACAAATTTGCACCACATTACAACGCATGGGCGCGAGCGTGTGTGTGCGACGGACGCACGTGGCAGGCGATGTGCAATGCGTAGCAGCGTTCGTTGCCACAAGAGAGGCTTCAGGTCACCGTGAATTAGGTACACAAATGCTTGTGTTAAAACTCATATTCCTAACGCGTCAAAATGGTAACTTTTACATTAGAATTTCACTGAAATGAAACTCAAAATATAAATTGATTAAGTTTCAATTAAAATTTGTCACATGAACGTTCGAAGTCACATGAACGTCTGTCACATGAAACTCGGAATTTTATTGTTTCATTTTTGAATGAATTTACCTAATACTATCTATCTAATAATAACGTGTCCTAAAATATTCAGGAATATATTGATTTGAGCTTCATTTGATTCTTTTTCCATGCAGTGTAAAAATGTATACTGTCTTCACCTTCAAATTTCTCATTCATCACAGGGCTCGGCCTCAGTATCTTGAAAACCACTTGTCGGTTTATGGCAATAAGCAACTGAGTGAATCCTCGCCTTTTCTACATAGGAGCAAGAATTATTGTCTGAAATAATTGCATGAATACAGAAATTAATTTAAACAGATTACACGCCTTGATTCAAGAAATTTTAAATAAGGTATATACAACGATCTCCAAACTGCAGTTTGAGTTTGAATAAGTGGGGGACATTATTTTATATAATGAGATGAAAGTCGCCATGTAAATTAATTTTAACCTGCAAACAGTAAAACTCAAGATAACGATTGATAAGAATTCCTTTATATCGATTGCTGGTCTGGCTAGCTATAACCTTCTGTGTCCATGTTAGGGGTAATCGTTTCCATATATGGAAACGATTAATTGTCTGCATTCGCATTTTACTAGTGACGTCAGTGAAACCATTCGACTATGGGACACAATGATGTTTCAAAAATCCAGTATTTCAATCCAAGCTCTCATTAATAAAAATTTCTTCATATTCGTGTTCCATTTTCATATCATAACGCACAGCTGGGGCCTGCAGCTGGATCGCGTTTGAGGTCATAAGTAAAGATGCAAATATTGCGGTTACGAGAGCACTGGAACAACATCATTGATGTCATGAAATATCATGAGCACATTTGGAGAATATCGTAACTTGAGATTTCCATCAAATTTCATTAATATTGATGACAATTTAGCCGTATGTGTGCCACCTTTGATGTCATCATACATTCGATCATCATAATAAATGTGTGCATGACGATGCACACGCATCGTCATGACGATGCGAGATCATAACGCCCGTACGACTAGTTTAATGTAACCTGAGACCTATATTTCTATTGATCGCCATAGGGATTCGTTCCACTTACTAGAGCGTGGAAGGTGAGCGTTGTGTGTGCAAGAAATGATCAGAAGACACAACCGTTTATATTGACCAAACTTTACCTGTGTAAACTTAGAATTACTGTTCGTCTTGCTTACATTCTATTCCGTGTAATCTAAATCAACCTCTTCTGTTTACACTGTGAGTTTATTAACGAATTATTTTTCCATTGCGTAGACTGGATAAACTTCGTATTTCATGCCCTATATTTTTCTAAAACCTCTAAGCAGTAAATGAATTTCCTTGCAGTTTAGAATTAAAAGCAATGAAACTCTGCGTCGTAATTCAATCATGGATGCTCCTCATTCTCTGGTAAACACGGCAACTTTCTTCTCAAGAGATCCCTGCTGAGCAACTTTTACTATTCATTGCCAGACCATGACTTGCACATCACAGACGAAACTGGGCAAAAAATGACCTAGAAACACTCGCAGGAAAAAATACTTGCGAATGATCTTACCGCATGGGGGTGCTTCCAGACTGCCGCTATCGCAGGCGTTGGGCCATTTGAGGCAGTTTTCACTGACATTTCCGATTTAATTTTGACATAAGGAAAAAATTCTTTGTCTTAGATACCTAACTTATTCGAATTATTTATATTTTCGCATAGTTACTTTCAATACTTTCAAATTGGAATGAGCAATTTATATCAATTCTAATTCAACGCATTAATCCGAATAATTTTATGAGTTAATTATTCCACTTCCGTGATCATTATGCCAGGCATTATTATTATTATGTAACCTAATTTATTTAGATCGCAAAGAGTTGCTCTTAAAATCACCCGGATGTTGAAGTGAAATCATGACTAATTATTTACATGACTGGCGGGCACATATTACTTTCTAAACAACTAATGACAGAAGCCCGATGAACTGAGACAGTTAATTTTGTAGCAATTGTTGACAGTTACGCTTTGAAGTTTAAAATGAGGCAAGAAACGATCAATGAGGGCTCGATCCCAAACCTATTAGCATCGTATTTGCACGCGACAACCCCATCATTGCTAAACTTAATTTGTTGGTCTTTGAACCCCACCATTGCTAAACAATTGGTCTTTGAACCCCTTCATTGCTAAACAATTGGTCTTTGAACCCCTTCATTGCTTAACTTGGTCATTGCTAAACCTGGTTAACAATTAGTAATTCTGTGCATTTCTCCGTAAATATATAAATGATTCCCGTCCTGATGATATACGCATTAAGTATTACAAGTAATCGCACGATAATGCTTACTTTATTGATAGAAATTTAGGGTTTTAAATTTTTTAATAAACGGAAGTCATGATTTCACAATATGAATAAATTTATTGAAAATTAGCTTCTAATTTAAGGAAATTGAAATCAAAGTTGATAAATATAATGCCCTTGTAATGCTTATTTAGCGCTCCTCTCAGAAGATGTATCGCGCTGTTATAACGCCGAAGTAAAACACTATGCAGGAAAGAAAAACGTCAGTTGCCCCTTATATATAAGCCTCGGCAGTGTAAGCATCGGAGTGCTCAGTCAAAGTAACTATACAGCGGTTAAATACAGCTTTGTGGTGCTTCACTTACTGGGTAAGCGTATGAAGATGGGGAACACTAATGGAGTTACAAAATTTTTTAAAAATTGTCAAGAAAACAAAAATATTTTAATAATAGTGAAGAAACTTCATAGTGTTCATCTGGGTACCAAAAACAACTTGTGCTCATTTGTATAGACAGAAAGTGTCTTTTTTACCTATAGATTTGTTTTCGCAAATACCGCCAACTTTGTGGCATTACCAGATAAAATTTATTTGTAAATGAACAAGCAAGATTCGAAATCAATTACCGATAGATGATGAATTACGTTCAACTATTTTATATTACGCTGCTGATTTTCGATAGCTGGAACCATTATTTCTCACTAAGGATCGAAGACAAAAAGTTTCGGACCATCACACGCCGCTAACACGATAACACCAAAAGAAAAATTATGGTCACGAGTCTTTGTACAGGCATGACTGACGATTGACTTCACATGAATAACCCTTTATCATTATGTTGCGTGACAAATCATTATTGTAATTTACTCCCTCAACCTTTTTGGCCGAAGAAACTGCACGGAGCTCACTATACCATCATTACTCGCAGTTCACCGCCTCAATATACGTAAGTTACCGAGAGAAAGTCTCATCGCAACAGAGATTGTTCCCGAACAAACGTCTGAGCCGTGGATGCTGGACGTCAAGTCGACCAATGTAAACAAAATCTGACATTTGCTTGCTCGGCTTCAAAAAAAAATTCACTACTCCAACTTTAAAAAAATTTATTTCTTATACGTATAGGAAGATGTATTCATATCGGGCATGTAAATCTTGCTAACACACATATTTCTGTCTTGTATCGGCCCCGTATATTCTCCGCAATAGGCATGTATCTAACATTTATCTTCGATGTATTTAGCTTTGCGCCTGTGCCAATTATAAACCCTAGTCAAGTAAATAACAACTATATGCTCTTTACCTCGATAGAACAAATTTTTTTACCTTTATGGGCAAATGAATTTAATTTCTTAATTTGTGTGAATTCGATTATTTCAAAATTAAAACTGCACCAACTACCTTCATTTTCATTCCAACATCAAGACCCCTCATCCCCGCAACAACACCAACAACCTCCACCTCGCACGGCAGCGTCTGACGCCTCAGGCGCAGGTCGACCCACATCAGAGGCCGGCCAGCCCAGGGCTNACCCCTCATCCCCGCAACAACACCAACAACCTCCACCTCGCACGGCAGCGTCAGACGCCTCAGGCGCAGGTTGACCCACATCAGAGGCCGGCCAGCCCAGGGCTGCCGCGCCTGCCTCTGCGCCTATGCTGAACACCATCCAGACTACCATAATAAATTAACGAATAGATCTTATACTTTAATATGTATATTACCCTATTTATTTCGCTTTTAACTTGCATTAGTTCTTTGACATATACTTTCATGCATAGTGTTTGATCTGTTGGAAAGTGATCCGTTACATACTGGCATCAGTGAAGTCATATAGATTATTGTAAGTATTTAAATACCTTTTACATATCATGACTCACTGCGACACTTCAATGAGATCGGGCTAGATATATGTTAGCCAGCCTTCGGTCGGCAGGCCGCATGTGGTCCAAGAATATGCCATATGATACCTGAAAATTTCAAAAATACTCATGGTGACACAACCGTGAATCCCACCCAAGGTCGCACTTCTCAGGCCGTGAGAACAGTTTTGAAACTGTGATGATATCTGATTTATGGCGCAACTTGATTATGTTATGCCAACTTACTCTTCTCATGATACCGGAAAGAAAGTTCGGTAAAGTAGGACCGTATATGTTGCGCAAGAACAAAACAACGATTTGACCTTTCTAAGTAAAAATATTTCTAATAAAACTTGGTAACGTCGCCCCGTTCTTATATATCACCACGATCTCAGTTCTGCTATACCAGTCCAGCGAGATTTGGTATCCTGTTGAGTGCGGCCTTGGGGGCGAGAAAATGTTAAGGTACGCTGCTCCAGATCCAAGTATGAATAATACAAGTCTAACCTGAGTCTGAACGCCTAACTCTTCAACACATTGGACCAAGCTTTCACTCCGGATTTCAACCTACTCTTGAGTGCGCCCCTAAGGCAGACCTTATACCAACATTCTCATTCACAATGGGTTGTTAAGTGCTCCAAGTTACACTTCAATTCAATTCAGCAACCTCGCAGCAAAGTATCCTGCCACAAACAATAGAATAATTCAGTGCAATAATCCCTCATCACTATAAACTATGTTTTTTTCTATTCTACTTTCGATAATTACGTTATTGATTTTGCAGTCTAATCGTGGAGGAAAGAAATAAAGTCGAATACACAGTATACTTGACGTTACGAAACTGCAGCGCTTCGATCACTGTATTCAGTTGTTGCAAATTTTATGGCAACGATAATTTGAACGAATTTCGCAAGTTACGCTGAAAAAGAATTTGCACCAAATGTTGCAATTGTCCATGCAGTTATAAGTGTTTAAATTTTTAGAACTGTCACTTCAAGTGTTGTCGTTGTTGTTATTGTTACTGGTGCTCAAATGATTCACGACTGCTGGTAATACAAGGGTTATTTATTTACACCTATTACAATTATTGCCCGGTTTTGAATTTTGGTACACTAACTTTACTTCTTTCGCATTTCTGGGCATTTTTTACATCTTACTCGTGTAAACAATTCGAACACGCGTAACAATTAAAACACTTGGCATTTCAAGACGTGTAACCAGGCAAGTATGAGCAGCACACACTAAGCGTGCTGCAAGTGCAACAACAAGCGTTACAATTGTTACACGTAATATGAGTGTTATAAGTACATATAACCCATATTACAATTGTGATAAGTGTTACAAAAGTAAGTAAAGTAAATAATTAAGTAAATGTTACAAGAGTTTGGGCAGCCAGAAAATTAGTATTCGCGTTAATCGCCACATCGCAGACCCCACACTGAGGTCCGTCTCGTCACCTCCGCGTTCCTTGGAAGAAAGCACAGCCCACGCATCCTGTTGTGGACGGGGGAGTACGGGGGGAGGGGGGGATCACGAGCATGGAAGCCACCAGAGACTGATATAATGATTTCAGGAGGAAAGGTAATCGCTAAATGATCGCTCCACGGGTGATTAGTTCGATTAGTGGCAGAGGTTCGAGGTGTTTAAAAATATTACTGATCATAGCATCAGCCAACGTGAAAAATGTTCGCCCTGATCGAGGGAAACGATTTTATGAAAGCGAAATATTACAACTAAGGCTTATAAAATGCTGCTGGTAAGACGGCTTGGTGGGTTGGGAAAAGCGTTCGTTTTCAAGCAACGTGGATCAATGCCACTGTTTGTCTTGCAGCGAAGCTACGATATTGTTGTGATATGGATGATATAATTGCATACAAGTGTCAATTTCATACAGGGCAAATGTTGAAATATTATATTTCCACCTCAAACATCTTATAGGGAAACTCTCCTAAGTTTTGCTACGGATATCAGGATACCAAGCTGATATCAATTGTATCAGATAAGACATGAGATGAATGTATACTTCATTCGCTGTTGCAATCAGATTCGAATTGTCAGCTTGTTTCGCGACAGTATGTTATGAGAACATGTAGTACGGTGCCATTTTTGATACATGCGTGCTAGTTAATGACTGCCAATTACCCAACAGACGAGAGCCGATATCACTAATAAATTTTCATTTTATTCACTTCAGTAAATGGGATGAGACTTCTCCTTCTGAAGGAAAATTCTCTGCAGCTGACTACACATTCTACTTTATTCACTCATATTTTTTCATTGTTTGTACTGATTGCTTTCTTAGTTGAGCCATTGTATTTAAATTATCCCTGCTGGAATAATGAAATTGGATTTTCTTCTACTTCAAGATTGATCGAAGACTAATACTCCCACCCACTCACCCACGTCAGTTTAAATTGATTAATTAGGAAAACTTTTGCAGTAAAATATATAAGCAAACGAACAACTTCAATAAATTATAAACTGAGGCCACATACATCTTAAAATTCTTAATTTTCATGCCATATTCAATAAGATTGTCAGAAAAGTGTCAATAGCCTGTAATATATGAGCGTTACTTGTTAAATTGGCATCTATTGTTATGCGCTCTCAATCTTCTTTACTTTTTCTCGTTACCGTCTTCCATATTTAATTAAAAATAAACTGATGACAACAAAACTAAAGCTTTTCCATTCCTGTCTCAAAATAACTAATCACGACTCAACGTAATATTTTACTCACGAATGATGGATGTCGAGAATTGTTTCCCGTCGTATGGAAGAATAGAACTCAGTTCCAGATCTTTGGTCGGCTCAGGGTCAGACATGGACCTTCCTTTCTTCTTGTCCATCTTCTTCTTCATCGCCAGGAACTCGATCATTTCTTTCTCGTGTAGCAGGAAGCTTTCAGGAACAACAATTTTGAACTTGTGCTTCTCGAGGTATTCCTCGGCGAACTGACCTAGAAGTTCTTCTTCGTTCTTTTCAAGATTCAGTTCTTCAATGAACATTTGGGCAGTTTTAATGAAGGATTCTCCGAACTCTTCCTTGCCCAAGTGCTTGAATGTGGTCCTCATGGCTCCCAGTCCTCCGCTCTTGAGGATTTGCATCATCGTCGGGTCTTTGGAGTGAGTGTAAGCCAACATCAGAGTCTTGATGAGCTGTTGGACATTGTCACGTGACACGACAATCAATTCGTTCTCGTTAGTGGGTTTCAAAGGTCCAGCGTATATATTTTCAAGCTCAGTCTGCGCATTATCATCGTAGAAAAACGCTGGTCCCGTTTTCTCATCGACGAATTCATCCAAGAATTGGGTTTCATTGGAATTATGGCACTTGACACTAACTAAACACAATGCCGCAATACAGGCATATAACAAATAAAATCTGCCCTTCATGATTGTCGCCACTTTAAATTGCTCGTCTCATGTGCAAAGAGAGATCATTTGAAAAAAAGTAAACTATCGTGCGATATAAATAGTGATTATAATAAATAACAATCTGAAATGGTTCTCTTTTTTTCTGAAACACAAGGTTTAAAAATCACTACCTATTGATACTTTATCATCTCCATGCACTCAAATGCTAGCAGAGCAATTCGTGAAGGATAACACCACACCAACCGACCAACCTATCAAGCCAAGCGAGCGTCCAACCGGCAAGTTCGACGGCACGACTGCGAATGACCGACCAGTTCAGCTCCGTAAAGCTGACTCTGGCAGGTGGGTTCTTTCAGAAAGTTGCTTTCTCCTCCGGCACGTCGGCAGAATTCGTGCGTTTGTTGCGATGGCGTCAACACGAAGAGCTTTAGGGCAAGTAGTATAAGCTGCCATGGTGGAGACTCGCTTCAGGCAACTGTCATGTGATACCTGGATTTGGGATGCTTTCCAGCAATCAAATATATGTGATCAAAAATATCAGAGAATATTGCATTTGTGCAAAGATCATGTCTAAAGTGGATACTTCGAAGCGTGCACAATTATCGGCAAAAATTTTGCGCCAGAGCACCTATAATAAAAATAGCGGGATTTTCTTAAACTAAATTACATTTACCTTTAAGTTTATAACACAGATGAAAAAGAGGCTTGTTTGCTCGATATTGCAAGGATCATAATAGGCTGTATTTCAATTAATGCTCTTCTATAAAGGAATAAACGAATAACCGTCGTAATAAAACAATGCTTTTTTAAATAAAAATAGATAAATGAGCTAAAAAGCCTCTTGTTTACTTCAACCTACATTCAATACATCCCAAAATTACACATCACAAAAAATCTATCTGTGTGCGCCGGGTGTTTGGCATGCGAGGCGGGAGCGGCCTTGACGTAGGCAGGCCAAGTGACCCACTGGCACAGAGAATTCGTATCCTGATGCGCCGCCGGTGAGGCCAGCCTGCGCTGTTGTGCTTGCCATCTTAACGGTTAGGCCGCAAATATGGAGCGCTCTGTGGTCCTCAAAACTCCGTGCAAGCAGCCGTTGAACCCTCCATCTGTAAGAGCTTGAGCTTGTCTCGCTGCAGCAAGAATTAGTGTAAGAACAAGGATGTATTTCGCTTAGTTTACTGATGGTTATTTTATTTGAAATCGTTAATTGTTTTACTGTGGAAGGTTTTCAATTTTTTTAGCTACTAATAAATTCTATTAAGTAGAATGTTGTGCATGTCACAGAATCTCTTGTCTTGATGCGGGAACATCTCGAGTTTTGTCTTGAATTGCATTTCTTTTTGCGGCAGGGTTGTAAACTAATAGGGAGATTTCGATAATAGGGAAGATTTTGTATGTGTTGAAATTAGGATACTTATATGTAGTATTTCTCAATGGTAGTATTATTCGAAGGCTTTTAATTTATAAATTTTAAAGTCATTTTTATTTATTTAAGATGCGGTTTAATGATAATGATAATAATTCAAAAAATATATCCCTCAGCCAATGAAGTTGTGTTAGTTAGCAGGCAGATTTTGAGTTTGAAATTCCTTTTCAATTTTCTCAGATTTTATGCAAATACATCAAATTAAACCTTGATATTTTATTCTAATTATCGTTACATTTCGGGGGAAAATGCACTCAGATTGTTCCCAATGTAAAATATATTATTTTTGTAATTGAAATGCCTGAACTTCCTATGAACCGTTTTCTGAAATCCGTCGATCTTGTAAATTTAGAATCATCTACAGTACATCACTTCTCGTACGGCTTACGAAGCCATTAAGCACCTGTCTGGAATTTGCGCTATTACTGCGTTAAAATTAATCCGATTTAGCACTTTCTCTAGTGCTCATTTGAAACTAAAATGGAAGACGATAGACAGAAGTTTCTATTAATTCCTACCGAGACAAGTAGGATCGCCGATGTCTTTTCATGATCTCAGTGCGCAAAGACATTTTTGCAATTGTAATTACATTATTAACCCCACATTACCAGTCGTGACAAATTTCAAAACAAAAGGACGAAATTATATTTAGGTAGCACAACAGACACAGAAACACTTGAATCAACCCCACGATATGAATCTGAACTTTAACATACCTCAAACCGTATAGAAACTCCAAAGGGTAAACGGTGGCGAATTTCACTTGTTATCGGTAAGATTTCTCCGGTCAAGACAGAGATAGCCAGCCACAGGGCGAGTGCTCAAAAGTCAGAATGCATGACAAGTTATCGCGGGTCAACGAATGAACTTTCTTCTTGATGAACATCCATTCGCCTGGAATTTTGTAGCCATCGAACGTTCAGCTGACCGTCACTTGTTCCTTTGAAAATATCCATTCAACTGACACTAATTATTTAATTGAAACTTGGTGGCACAAAAATGGACCATAACTGATACCTCTCAACACGAAGCGAAATTTCAACGGGACTGATCGGTAAAGCAGTTTGATTTCAAATATAACCTGTTGGTCGCAGGACGTTTGTTCAAGTGGGATTTTGTGGAAACTTTAATAGCAACAAATGCCTATTTTGCGGGCTCTGATAACTTTACTTCGATTATTTATTTTCTTCGTGAAGTACAACCTCTAAATTATCAGAAATATCTTTAAGTAGACTTGAGGGTGTCGGACAATGAGATCTTGACTCATGAAACTTCATAGTTTAAGGTTCACATCGAACACTCTAATTGACATTTATTGCAGTAAATGCATGTAGCTCATTACTCGGTATGACTACAATCAAATCACTCACAACTGTTTCATATCAAGCTCACCTATTATTCCTATATCAACCAATAAATCTGATTTCATGTAAAAATACTCAACAGCAAATGATCATGCGATGTGTGTCGTTTTGCTTGAGTTTCCCCCGCTTTGCGAGCACCGTAAGCGCGTCTTTTACACTTAAGAAGTCACGCTTTTGTTTCGGATCGAGTCGCTTTCCATTCCCGCACGAGATTCTTTTATGCTAACCTTCTTTCGTAGTTGCTATACAGTGTAACATTTTAAACCTATTCTGTTTCACATCGACTACAATACTTGGTCGGAGACTGAAACTTTCCCTAACAAAAAGATGAATGGATTGACTTTTCAGTCAACAAATCAACTTATATTCCAGCTTCGTCATGGCAAGTGGCCTTAAAAAACTATCAAAAATCTAATATTCAGTAACCTATCTTTCATTCAATCACCGACCGCCGTCTCTACGGGAGATCAGGTATTCAAAGTTATCTTTTTGATGATTCAAGTTTCTCTTTAAGTCCAAGTCCATAATTTCCATTGCTTTGCCTCCCTAATTTTCAGCTACATAATAATTTAATCCCGAAAGCTGCAGCTATTTAGCATGCGATGCCGTTCATGCTACAAAAAAGCATGACCAAAAATAATATTTTTATCGGAATTGGGTGTAAAAATATTTTTTACAACTTCATGTGGAATTTGTCCTACCCATTTGCTCATATACTTTGAATTTATATATACCCCCAATTCCTATTACTGATTTCTGTAACTGTACTGATCTATAATTACTAATTAGAGATCTAAGTAACATACTTTTTCACTGTGATACTAACTGATTCATATGCCTCTGTTCAAAAGTATATTGTTATATTTTAATCAAAAGAGCCGTGTTCCCTCTTTAAAAGTTGAAGATCACATGCAATAGTCCTCAATTGATCATGCCAGACGCATATACTCAGCATTTCATAAAAAATAACTGCCGTGAAAACATTTGATCGCACCGGACAACGACACATCTGGACCAGCATCCGGCTCCCGTGTTCGGCTTTCTATGAACTCCTTATAAAAACTAAACTAGCAACATCAACTCTACAAATTCTCTCGTAGTTTTAATGCGGGTACTTCTCTTTGAGGACCATATACCTGTTTGGATTTCTATGCACTTTGATCTTTAAGTTTAAAAGAGAACTTGGGGCGTCAAACCAGACGTAATTCAATCCAATGCATTCTTATAATATATTTTGTGAGCTTTTCCCAACCATCACAATTTTGACTGAAACCGTCGCGAATCTGCTTGATGTTGAAAGACAGCGGGTTTGCAATAAAATCGAAATATTCTGCTGTTATTACTAATATTTTTCTAGTCCGAGTCATTTCAGCGCCATGAAAATTTGAAATCTAGAGCAAAGTTTATTTAAGGTGTTATTTTGAATAAAAATGAAGCACGTGGAGGCGGGATTCTATCCCTCATTCAAAACGAATTTTTGAATGAGGGAATTTGTGTCAAATCGGCCAATGTTCATTCGGGCGACTAACATGTTAATTTAAATCGTAAAGAGATAATATTCAAAAAGAGATAATATTAAAGAGATAAAAGATAATATTAAAGAGTAAAGTGATAATATTCAGGTATATAACGTTACCTTTTTTTTAAAAAAGAAATTAGCCGCAACATCACATTTTGAGAATTTGCAAGCCATCTCACCAGCTTCACACCTTTGATGCTCTCAGCGGTAAACCCCATGTAGATAGAATCGGCGTGAATAAATTATATCGAATGGGTCTTCGATAGCCTTTTTGAGCTCCACAGAAAGTGGCGTCAGCTTAGACATCACTTTCTTTTTAAGGCAAGAGATACTTATTTTTATTTCGCAACTTCTGTTTGGATAAATGCTTCACTTATCTCAATTTTTTTTTGCAGTTTTACTTGAAGGAACTAAAATTCTTAATTAATGCAGGCACTAACTTTTATTTCATCGTGTTTTTTATTTCATCTTCATGTTGGATTCATCTGAAATAATTTCATTCATCTAGGTTTAGAAAAAGTAATCGAATTAATTCATCTCTCTTCAATCCTCTCAACAAGTCGGTAATGTTGCACTTCTACAGCATTGTTAATCTTGAATGCATCCGTATAGTGAGGAGACAGGATCCGGCTTTTTCTTACCCGGCACCCCAACATAAACTACTTCACTTTCAAGCTAAACGTAATTAAAGCAGAATAAACTTTCACTGCTCGCGACGTAGAGTTCATTAAGCGTAATCTCCTACAGAGTTAATGCCTTCCAGCACTAATACATTAATAATAGTGCCTTCCAGCAGTAATTATCCCGTACAGCGCTAATCAGCTGTAATAAAAACATGAACTGCTGGTCGTGACTGATTCCTTTCCGGGAACTTTCATCGTGGTTTTGTAATTGACGTGCTTTGCTTAAGGTATTTGAACTGATAAATTAAAATAATTCATTTAATGTAGAAATATTATAGAGCAATGCGTTTATAACTAATATATTATTAAAGCGGAAAG